GGTTGCCCTATATGGTAACGGCAACTGCCTTCGCGCTGCGTTTGCTAAGCAATATCGCAAGCGCGCAGAGCGCGCGCGCCGGCTTCGTGGGCCGGCGCGCGCTCTGCGCGCGCGCGCGCACGCATTTGGTTACCAGATGATGATTTGAATCTGTTCGACTCTAAGCCTTAGATTGTTCCCTTATCGACTCCTATTCTTCTACGTCCCTGGAGTCTCATTATAGCTTGAGTAGGTAGCTGTTGGCTTTGGAAAGACGCGGCGGAAGAAGTGCTGTCGTTTCTATAGAAGTGCGGACAATACTATAAGTGGTTTCTAGTTTGTTATGGAGAGCACACGAGTTTTTTCCTGCCCCTTTATTCATCTTAGCAATACTTGCACATACAATGCAGGCCGCAGGTCAAGAGCCGTACCTTGCCCGGAAGCCGCTCCACCACTCGGCCATCCAACTGGGCAAACGGGTCCGTTGTCTGGTCTGGCGGCAATCGATACTCAGTCGGGTGGAGAGGTCTGGTCGCAGATTGCGAAGACATCGTTACCCTACTAGGTGGTCTGCTACTCGCAGCTGCCCGCTCAAAGCTGTGTTCAGTTTACTACATTTTCGATGGTGCAGTGCTCGTATTTCGACCATTAAGTCTAGCTTCGCCACCTGCGACTTCGTCCTATTGGTGCAATATTGAAAGTACAAAAACAGGCCGAAAAACAGCTCAGTCTGGCTTTCGACGGAAGAACAAGACCTAAAAAAAGAGAGGCGAAAATTACGCTCCGGAGTCTTCGGAAATACTAGAATAAATCAGAGCCTGTACTTTTCAAGCTGCTCGTAGTACTTCCACCGCGTAAAAGGTTTGGCCCCTCTTGACACGACCCGCACCACCTTGGGCGGCACGTAGGGTGTAATCGCTTGCACGTCGGCCTCGGGGTGGAGCATCTTACGGATCTCCACCTTCGAGAACGTTTATGCAACACAAATTTCCCGCACACACGTTTAAATAAATGCATCACAAGTTTTGACAATTTATTTCATGCGGGCTACTTAGCATTGAATAAAGCAAGTTTTGTCATGCAAGAACCGAACTTTTTGTACGTGTACGCGAAACTCACTGGGGATAGAGTTCGCGTGTGGTCCATGAGATTCACCTCAGTGGTCTCCAAAGCTTTTCGTATGGTCGCCACGAAGCCTGTGTCTTCTTCCTTGAACAACGAAGACACGCTTCCCGAGGCTCCTCGTCCCACGGGCCGCGAGCGAAGCTTCGAGCGGGACGGGGCGGATTTTGGGGGCATTCTGCTCGTGCTGGACGTAGCGCCTCCAGCGGTTTCGGCAGGGAGGGGCCAGCCACTGCTCGCAAAGAGGGCGGCAAAATCGTCGGTGTAGTTGTTCTGGTTCTCCTTGTTCTGTGAGGAAGACGCCGGTGCTTTTGCCGATGCACTCGCACAGCTCATGCTCTCTCGGCCTGCTGTCAGCGCACGCACTGGAAAGCCGCCGATATTTCCTAAAGATCGTTGCGTTTATTTTATTCACTCAATCACAGACATGTTGACAACTTCAATATGCATAGAGGCACAAGGATCTATATAGTTAGATCCCCCAGAACTAGCTACGTCTGCACAAGCTTCGTCTTCAATCATACGCTCCTCCTGTTGCTGCTGGTGTTTACTCACAACTTCATGTTTCGACAAACACGATCAATCTTGTTCTTGCTTGTTCCAGTCATAGGTTCATCAGCGATGTCTCGTCAGATAGACTGCATCGCAACAAATAGGTGCACTTGCTCATGATCCCGGGTTCTGGTGTCGAAATAGAATGGAATAGTAGGCGTCGTCTGAATAAAAGCAAGTAAAAATGT